TTGATGACATTATCGTTACCGGCAACAATTCATCTCTTATTGACAATTTTACTCGCAATCTTCGTTATGGGTTTGCTACCAAAGATTTGGATTCTCTCAGTTACTTTCTTGGTCTTGAAGCTTCACCCACTTCTGATGGTCTCTTTATTAGTCGGTTAAAATATGTCCGAGATATTCTTACTCGTGCTCAGTTGCTCGATAGCAAACCAGTCCACACTCCCATGGTTGTTTCTCAACGTCTGACTGCTGATGGTTCTCCTTTCTCTGATCCTACTCTCTATAGATCCCTTGTTGGCGCCCTTTAGTACTTGACCATTACGCGTCCAGATATTGCCTATGCTGCAATTCTGTCAGTCAATTTTTGCATGCCTCTACTGCAGATCACTTTCTTGCTATCAAACGTATTTTTCGTTATGTCAAAGAAACACTCCACTTTGGTCTTACCTTTCGTCCATACACTGTTCCTAGTGCGCTAGTGGCTTATTCGGATGCTGATTGGGTTGGTTGTCCCGATACTGATCGTTTTACATCCGGCTATTCTATTATCTTAGTAACAATCTCGTTTCTTAGAGTGCCAAAAAGCAACCTACTGTCTCATGCTCTAACGGTGAATCTGAGTATTGTGCTCTTGCCATAACTGCTGTTGAACATCTTTTGGTAATGCATCTTTTGCATGACCTCAAGGTCCCTATTTCATAGCAGCCCTTGCTCTTAATTGACAACAAAAGTGCTATTTTTGTTTAGCTCTATTCCCGTTTCTCACAAGCAGGACAAACATGTTGAACTAGATTATCATTTCCTTTGAGAACTTGTTATCATTGGCAAACTTCGCACAAAATATGTACCTTCCCATCTTTGTTATTGTTGGCAAACTTCGCACACAATAACTTCCATCTCCATGTTTCTGACATCTTCACAAAAAGTGTTTCTCGACCTCTCTTTGAATTTTTAAGATCCAAGCTTCACGTTCATTCAAATCCGATGCTCGACTAGCAAGGGGTGTTAAGGATATTTGACCGTTTATTAAGATATTTGCCTTAACAGCTTACCATATTTTCCTTTTTATTAAAAGCAAATATATTCTATTTATTTATTATTCTTTCCTTTTATTGTTATTTACATATTATGTGTAATTTACCATAATTCTTTATTCTCATTATAAATAGAGAACATTCACCACCATTTATGTTCGGCGGTTTTAGCAAATATTCTCAGGTTAGAGTGTCGTGCTGATAATGTGACGGTCGAAGGTTCGACACCTGCACTGGTCAATTTCATTAATTCTCAATAATATCTTTAAAGATACGGGGTTAAAGCACTACAAACTTTAAAAGATAATGACTTAAAGTTTTAAGTTTGTTAGACCCACATCTGACCCAATTTGACTCAAAGGATGTTTGATCAGATCCACATGGTGCCACGCGTCAACATAAGGAATTTCACTTCCCAGCGTGCGCCTCCAGATTTGAACCCATGACTCATTAGCGGCTAACCAACTTGAGCACGCCATGTGGCAGCACCAGGACGTGCGTCCTCTTCCATCAAGCGTGTCTGTATGGGCGCGTGGCATCGCACGTGGAGCATCTTTCCTGCGAGTGGAAGCGTGTGTTGCATGCATGAAGGTTAGTTTCCTTCCTGTTTTACTTCTGTTTGCTCGATTTTTATCCCGATTCTAATCCTAATCATATTTTTATGTGAATTAGGACTTAATTGGACAAAATGAGTATATTTGGATACGTTATTTGTGTAGAAACACTAAACGAAAGTCACACATCAATCATGTTAGTCACCACACGATATTTAGGAAGCAATACTTGTAGGGATCGCTTGAAATGCATGTATGCTAATGCATTTACCTTAGGTGATTGCTTTCCATGATTGAATGTAGTTAATTTGATTGTTATGAGTATGAATATACTATGTGAAGTATTATGAGTGTTACTTGAGTGTTGCAATTATGCTTTAAGCCTCCGCTATTTATGTATATGTTTAATTCATGTTGGAAAGAGGATGAGAATTTGAGAACTCTACGCTCTAGGAGCTTGATGGATGTTATCGCCCCATTGAACATGTATAAACACTTTGTATGAATTATGTATGATAATGCTAGATGACGGTTGTATGCACACTCAGTTATTTTCCATGACCCAATAATATGATAACCTATGGATTTATGGTTAGAAGTGACAAGCTACTGAGTCTAGACCTAACCTTTCCCTAGGAGCCTATCAGATCACAACGGCAAACAAAGTACCTTAAGAGTATTCTTAGGCTATAATTTGTGTGAACGGTATCTATATCTTCGTGGGAGGACCAAGGGTTCCTGATTAGTTCTCACTGTTCCTAGCCGTTTCGCAAGGAAAATGTACCCATGTCTTATAGACCACTAGCTCGGAAAGGAGGGGTCACGCCCCTCAATAAGGTGGTCTATCATGGGCCTAGGAGGTACTCAGCACACCCCTTGGTAAGATACCATATAGTCTTAGAATGCCATGCAAATGTAGCGCCTCATAGGAAGACACTAGTCATTAAAGCTTGGCATAAGGAACTTTTAGGGTTTAAATAAAAGGATGGAGAACCAAAGAAGTCCCAAAGGCCTAATACCAGAACCAGACGTCCTATAGCCAAAGAGAAGTCCGTGGGAGTCTGTTAAGCTTAGGATGCGTTGAGAGCCTACAAGTAGGTGGCTTACTGAGTATAATTTTTATACTCATCCTAGTTGTCCTATTTTTTTCAAGAATTCGCAGGCTGGCGATCAAGGTTGAGAAGCGTTTGAGAGCTGTGCGATCATAGAGTGGATCTTTCAGAAGCGTCAGTTCCTTTTCAGTTATTTTGGAGTCTTCTGTATTTCCTTAGTTTAATTTGTATCCCCTTTGTAATATTTTGAAAAAATTCTCTTTATTATGTTTTATTTAAATAATATTATTAACTTGTACTTTTCTTTTCTTTTATTTTATTTTTGTCTGTTTTTGCTTTTGCCTTTTGGGTCATGGTACGAGTTTTCAAAGCCTCGAAAATTGGGTCGTGACAGATTTGATCTAAGATTTTGAATGGTTCGATAAAACATGGGCTCAGCTTTCCTTTACGTCCGAAACTTAGGACACCCTTCAACAGGAGTCACCTTTAAGAATACCATGTCCCCTAAGCTCAAATGCCTCATGTCAGTGTAACTCTTTTATCTATTATGAGCCATGCACATTATTGTTCTAATCTTTTTCATGGCCTCATTGGTAGCTTGAACTATCTCTTGTCCTGACAACTCCCATTCACCTACCTCGTGTAAGGACCGAGCTGACTCGATGACTGTAAAAAGATGGGTAAATTTTTCAACAAAATAAAACAACCAAAACTTAAAACATATCAAACATTATATCAAAATAAAGTTTATACAAAGTATTTTAAAACACAACACAACAGTTAAAACACAAGTTAAGGGACAACACAAAAGGGTAGAAGGACGACGGGTGAGGTTTGTCTATGGCACCTGCTCCAGAGTCCGCTCCCGACCTCAACCAGCTCCTTATTTCCTAAAAAAAATGGAGAATAAGGAATGAGTACAAGACTCAGTAAGCAGCCTACTTGTAGGCTCTTAATCGTGTCCTTGATATGCTAGGGTACCACACTTTTTGTTTTCTTGTTCTTGTTCTTGTTCTTGTCGTAAGTTCTTGTTATGTTTCTTAATTCGTTCTCCAAGACACTCCCCTTAAGATTTACGGTAGTAGACATAAACTTGTCAATCTGTGTCCAAGGCTTCATACGTTTCAAGCGACATAGTCTTAATGCCTACGCTCAAGGCTTCTTACGTTCCAAGCAGCGTAGTCTAAGTCATACACATGACGTACCGTGGGAGGTCTTAGGAGATTCTTAATTCATGGCTAGGGTAACTTACTCTCTTCTTGCTCAATCGTGGCCATAGGTTCTCCCCATGATAGACCATAAAGGTCACGTGATCGATACATGCATGAACATGGCATAGACCATAAAGGTCACATGATCGATGCATGCATGAACATGGCATAGACTATAAAGGTCACGTGATCAATGCATGCATGAACATGGCATAGACCATAAAGGTCGCGTGATCGATGAATGCATGAACATGGCATAGACCATAAAGGTCACATAATCTAACATAGATCATATAGGTCGCGTAATCGGTGCATACATGAATATGGCATCCTGTAAATCATAACATGGCGCAGGGCATCTCATCTAGGTGAGGGGAATGAGGCCAAACATGACATCCTGCAAAGCAAACACGGTGCAAGGCATCCCACCTAGAAGAGGAAAAAGGCCTCCTTAAAAAGCACCGCATGATGGGAGTTATAGGCCACAATTAGACATGCTTAGAGTAATACCTAGCATTCTTGAATTTTGAGTCTTGAGGACTTTGGTCCCTTGTGTTTGAGTGGTACCTAGCATTCTTCTTGTCTTGGTGGTTGTATAGCTTATTCTTGATTCTTAATCTTATAAGTTTCTAAGATTCTTATTTTTTTGAGGCCTCAGTTGTTATATACATTCGTGATCATATGAACCCATCGTCATAACTAGCATGAGTTATTCTAGAAGGTCATAAGTTCATAATGGGCTCCTTAGAGGGTTCTAGAAGGGTCTTGAATCTTGACATGTTTTCTTTAGGCATTTCCTTACGTTCCATCCTGGCTTATGTTCCAAACTTGCTCCAACCAACTTGAAATCTTGAGTTTATCCTCGTGTCATATAAAATAGACCTTATAGGACATGGTTGGTGATTTGGAGCATATTTAGACCTTGAGCTAGGATATGACTTCTTGTTTTGTTTTCTGGAACAAACCCTTAGAGGTTGTCATGTCATATATCGTGGTCCTGAAAACACTTTCAAAGTAACCCTTAGTTTTCCCTGCTCGTGGTACATATAGCAAGGCATCTCACCTAAAGAGGAATAGGGATCTCCTGGTACACTTCATGATGGGAGATAATGGTTACTCCGGGCATGGATCCTAGCAACTTGTTAAGCATACCATCTGCATTAACTTAGGTGTTTCCTTCTATTCTTGGGGATCCTAGGTTTATGCATAACATCTTGGGTCAAGCTTGGAACTTAAAGGTTCTTCTTAGAAATAGCCCAACGTAACCTTGTGCACTTAGAATCTTATTAGCAACCAAGGGTATCTATGGGGAATCTCTTATTTCATGGGTACCTCGTTAGTCATCCTAGGAGGTAAAGTCATGTGGATTGTGATGTACATTTTTTCCCATATCTTGGTTTTGCTATCTAACGTTTACCAATGACTCCCAAACTTCATTACCTTATACAACATGATGAGATATGGATTCATACAATATTTCATAATGTTGGGAGGTCATTTAAGGCTTAACCCGTAGGTAGGCTTCCTTAGGGGCATTATGGTCATTTTACCCCTAATTCTTGGTTTTGCTACTTAGCGAGTTCTAGTGGCTTTCAAACTTCACCACCTCATTAATCATCATACAATAGAATTTACTGTAGAACTTCATAGCATTTGGATGTCATCTAGATCATGAACCATAGGTAGATATCCTTAAGGCATTATGGTCATTTTGCCCCGTTTCCTTGTTTACCTACTTATCCTTATCCATTGACCACTAAGTTTCACACATAACCAAAACATGCTATAATATGCTCATCATTAAAGTTTCATAGGCATTAGGGCTCATATAGTGGGTTATTTTAATGTTCCTTAAATCTCAAGCAATTTGGTCGGTTCAGCGCCTTAACTTACGGTTCTTTGAGTTTTGCTTTCATAGATCCTTGTGTAATACTTGGTGTAGGGTTCATATGAAAATCCAAGTGATTCTTAAAAGTATTTCTTAAGAAAAGTCCAAGGTGGCTACTTACCTCATTGTCGATGTTCAGGACCTCCGTTCTTGAGCTTTCGATATTCAAATTACTTCACATTTCCTTCCATAGACTCCTTATTGTGTCTAGTTTCTGGAACCATACGGTTTGTCATGAGACCAGCCTGAAAGGGGGTTAAAATTGAGAAACACCGAGGGAAGGTCAGATTTTGGGTTGACTTGGCCGGTTCAACTGAACCGGCCACGTCATCGTCTTCTTCCTCTAGACAGGAAGAAGACGCGCGCGTCCTTTGCGCCGCCGTCTGAAAGTGGCCTTCCACAGCCTCGATATCTTCGTTTATCCCCTCAATTTCTTCATTAAACTTAATGAAGATGTTACAAGGAAGAGATTGGGATTGATTTCATACCTTTTCGTGGATCACAATCTAAGATATTGAGCTCCAAAGTTCGTCCAAAATCATTTCCTTCGCAGAAGCTAAAACAGGGGATTTCTTATCGGGTAGCCGATTCTAGAGGTTTTCAAGGCCCAATTTCTTCATGGAACCTCTTCCATATCCTTTCTTCAAGCTATAAGAATTGGTTTGGAGGAACGTCATTGAGTGTGGAACCTTAATTTCTAGAAATCGTTCTCGGTATGCAACTCACCCGAAACGCCGAATTTCCGATCTCTTAGGTATCTTGTTCTACGACGTTTCAGCTCTCAATTCCTTCATAGAAATTGTGGGTAATCTTGTTTAGAAACTATAGGAATAAGTTTGAGGAGGAAGGGTGGAGAATTGCTCTCGAATTTGGATGAAACCCCAAGAGTAGGAGACCCACAAACTAAACGCTCATAACTCTCAAATGGGTACTTGACCTTGCTTGAGTCTTATTCCATATTTTTTCCCCTACTCCAGACTTTATAGGCGGAGCTTAAACAGACATTGAAAGCTCCAGAATCGTCGTGAATTGGCGATTTGGATTTTCTGGAAAATCCGCCGGAAATATCTACTCCGGTCAGAGCCTCCTCGACTTTGGTTTTGCATAATAGCCATTGGATGTGATGATCTGTCCATCTTCTAGATCATATCCAAATTTGGGGAAGATCCAAAGGCTGGGATTTGAGTTCGTTAGATATTTCTCAGATGGTCACGGTAGATGCTCTGTTTCTGATCAGAGGGGCATTTTCATAATTATACATTCTTCCAGGGGTATTTAGGTCATTTGCCGCTTTTCGAATATTTTAATATTATTTTTATTGAAAAATCCATAATTTTTCTAAAAACTTTTCATCTCATGTTGGTCATTTTTTCCTTCTTCTTGAACATCTAGAAATTCCTTCTAGATAAGCAACTAAAAATCCGGGAAGGTCCTTAATAATTAGAAAAATGACATTTTTGCCCTTTTTACTTACTTTTACTTCTTAATCCTTTTTCCATAGGTCTTAAACTCCTTAACATTACTTGTTAGGGTATAAGAATGACTTGCTTGAGATCATCATCCTTGCTTAATCCTTTAATTCCTCCCCTTTTGATCATTTGGATCTAACATGGGCGGCTTATTCTTGTTGGATCTAATTCCTTTCATTTTTGGGTGTTACACCTCGTCTCAACACACTTAGGTTCTTGTGGTCAGTGTAGATATGGTAATTCTATCCATACAAGTAGCCACCAGATTTTAAGTACAAGCACTACCATAGCTAACTCCAAGTCATGGGAGGGGTAGTTCTGCTCGTAGTCCTTCAACTGAAGGGAAGCACAAGCGATCACCTTCTTGTTTGCATCACTACACATCCTAGTCGTTTCTTAGTGGTGTCACTATAAATCACATAACCTCTTGAGCTCTCTGGAACTGTGAGCACTAGGGCCGACACTGACCTCTATTTCAGATCTTGGAAGCTAGCCTTACATGCTTCATTTCATATAAACGAAACACCCTTCCTAGTCAAGTGCGTGAGCGATGAGGCTATCTTGGCAAAATCTAGTACGATTCTCTAATGTACCCTACCAGTCCCAAGAAATTGTGTACCTTAGTAATTGCAGTCCAGCAAACCCACTTGGTTACAACTTCCACCTTTGTTGGGTCCATTGAAACCCCATCCTTCGACACCATGTGCCCGAAGAATAAGCGTACCATAGTCAAAGTTCTCACTTGGAGAACTTGGTATACAACTTATTTTCCCACAAGATCACCAGGACTGTCCAGAGATGTAACTTGTGTTCTTAATCCATTTTCAAATACACTAGGATGTTGTCTACGAACACGATGACAAATGTGTTGAATCACTCCTTGAATATTAGATTCTTTGACTCCATGTATACGCTGAGCCATTAGTGAGTCCAAACGACATAATCAAAAACTCATAGTGGTCATACCTAATTCTAAATGTTGTCTTGGACATATCTTCTTCTCTATCTTAATCTGGTGGTAGCCTGATCAGAGATCTATTTTGGAAAACATTGTCACCTCCTTGCGTTGGTCAAACATATCTTCTATACGGGGAAGAGGGTACTTATTCTTCACCGATCTCTTGTTTAATTCCATGAAGTCGATGCACAAACACATTGATCCATCGTTCTTCTTGACTATAACATCCTAATCCTACCGCTAGTAGATATTGTCTACTTTAACCTGTTATGTATCATCATCAATCTTACGATTTTAAAACATGTCAGTTAGGGGGAACGTTTCCACACCCTTACAAAGAATTCTTTGTTCCTCTCTCCAATTGTTGTGGGATCTCACATTGACAAACAACACTGGAGCACTCAAAGAGGATACCTCAGGATAGATGAAACCCTTGTCCAACAAGAATTGCAGTTGCTCCTTCAAAACATTACTATGAAGAGAGTAGATTTGACCCTCACGTCGAGACAAGCAAAACAACGGCCCTCAAGCGGCGCCGTCTGCCACAAGAGGCCCAAAATAGAAGAAATGCATGATGCAACTGAGGAGGATGGTGTATCATCCAACACACCATATAACGTGTGAATTGAAGAGGAGACGAGGCATAAGTAAGATATGAACAACGAGTAGATATGAGCGTTACAAATAGGCTTATTGAATGGTTGGGTAAGGAACCGAGCCTTAACCTTAAAAGTTAGATTCCGAAGGGAATTTGGCCTAGTGTAGAGGTAAGGTAGTTATGTCATAGAAGATTGAATATGCACGTGCATGCATCATGTGTGGCCGTACAAACATAAATTTTGCACAAGTGATGAACGGTGAGTGAAGATAAACTTCACCTAAGATCCAATGAAGCCATAAAGTGGGTGAAAAATGAATATGGGGCCTAGGTTTCTCTTAAGACTAGTCATGAGCGTTTCAAGATTACAATGTCACATGGTTGAAAAAGTACAACCGTGACACCAAGCGGGGATTTGAAAACAGGCTTGGTACCTAGTTCGAGCTCTATGCAGAAATTTACAACTCGGGAAGGGGGTGCTTCTAGTATATCCTTTGACAAAACATCAGAAAATTGTTGACCATCGGTACTGCAGACAAGAACTTCTATTTCTTTTTTTTTTTTTTTGTATCTACATACTAACCAATATTATCTAGACTCGTTGTTGGATTAATCTCTTTGCTTTCATCATCCAAACTATCTAAGGGATTACTACTTGTCCAGCTTTCACTGTATTCGTAGCAACTAAGTTTACACCTATTTGGGTACTAACAAATAACACATACAATAAGAGTTCTAACTTAAACCTTGCCTAACTAACAAACAATATAGATATAAATGAATCTGTAGACCCTTAATCAAATAAAGTTAGGGTAAAATGCCCTAAAACAAATAATGTACTTGTCACCATTGTGTCAGAGTTTTCAGAGTCTCTATTGGTGAAAGTGTTGCTTGGGAATGGGTCTGTATAGGCTTTCCTATACTACTTGGGCCTCATGTCGGGTTAACCGAGTTTTCAGTGTTCTTTTCTAGACAGTTCATAGCCATGTGACCCTCTTGGCCATACCTGAAGCATGCTTTAGCCTGAACTAGGCACCATCTCTAATGTTTCCTACCACACTCGCTGGATCGAGGTTTCTTGTCTCCTCTGAATCCCTATTGACCCGAATGCTCACTGTGCCCCAGTCCCTATGGTTACTGTCTACCTTTTACAGCTGGCACACAAGTGGTTGACGGTGCAGTTCTATCTGATTATACCTTGACTTTTGTCCTATGGTGATTGACGGTGTTGTTGGCCCTTGGTGTTTTTTCACTACTCTCTCCATAGCCTTAACTGCTCTCATAATAGTAGAATAGGTGGTAGAAGCTATGATGTCCAGGCTTAGAAAAACCCTCTAAGCCATCTTCTAACTCTATGTCAATCAAATCAAGGGCAAACTACTTCAATCTCATGAACTCTCTCCGGTAGCCCACAAAAGAGGTCTATTTTGTGTTAGCTAAGTGATTTCTAGTTGTATTCAAAGTTGGGCTACATCCGAATAATATTCCCCCAAAAAGCCTCCTTGAATTGGGTCCATGGTACTACAACTTTGTCAGGGATAAGGATCTCCCAAGTGTCCTCCCACCATATCTCTGCATCGTTCTGATGCACAAATGATGCACATGACATTCGGGCAGTTCATTAACCAAAATATTCTCTCCTTCAATGACAACCACAGTTGTGCCACCATCGAATCCTCTGAGGTCCAATTAAAAGTACAAGGGTTGTACCTCTTGATATCCTGCAGGTACCTCTCCCTCGCGAGCTGGACTTCTTCTACCTGTCTCGTCCTCTTGCAAGGTGTTGTCCTCCTCTACTTCCTCTTCTACATCCTATAGGTGACATGATCTAGGACAAACACGCAATACTCCAAGTCTATAACCCTCATGAACTGTCACAGCCCAATATTTTACTACGGACCGTGACTAACGACACGACACAAATGCACAAAGAGGTTTAAATATGAAATAAAGAAAATCATCAAATTCCAATAAAGTTTTTTTGAACGACAAACACAGAACACAAGACCGTTTGGAAAATAGATTTCAAAAGAATGCAAATATAAAAATAAAGACTAAGACTGGACTGAAGCCCCGGGACAACCCATTCCTCTGTGACACTTCCCATCTGATCACGCCCACTCTTGACCAACGCCTCGCGCTCCTGAAAAAAAAAAGGAAAACATAGCAAGGATGAGTATAAAAATTATACTTAGTAAGCCACCTACTTGTAGGCTCTCTTCGCATCTTAATTAACAGGTTACCACGGTTTCCTATTTCGGTTCTAGGACATCTGGTTCTAATCTTGGTCCCTTAGGGCTTGCCCCTTGGGTTTCACTAGTTCTTCGTTCTTTCACTAAACGCCTAGAGGTCCTTTATGCCAAGCTAATATAGTCGGTATCTCTCTATGAGTGCTACCTCTACGTGGCTATCCGGGACTACATGGTACCTAGCCTAGGGGTGTGCTGAGTACCCCTACGCCCATCTAGTCCCCCTATGGGGGGCGCGACCCAACCCGTTCCCATGCAGCTAATGGGCTGTACGACGTGGGGACACATTTCCCATGCAAAATGGGTAAGAGCAGTAAGGACTGATCAGGGACCTCTTGGTCCTCCCACGAAGCTATAGATACCGTTCACACCCTAGCAATCTATGAACACTCTGGGGTACCTTCTTACCGTGGTAAACCGCTAAGTTTCTAAGGAAAAATTAAGTCTGACTAGAGCGGCATATCGCTCCTAACAGAAATTTCCTAATGTTATCATAGAAATGGGCCCTAGCAATTAACAGAGGGTGCATGCAATCTCCTTCTAACATCATAGTATGTAATTCACGCAAACTAGGCATACCGGCTCAACGGGGTGATGACCTCCATCAAGCACCCAGAGCACGAAGTTCGCGCTCAATGGGGCGAATTCGTCCATCAAGCACCCGAAACCTGGCATACACAATTCTAACATAAATTAATGCAGGCATACATACGGTGGAAGCTTAAAGCATACAGCAACACTCATGTAATTTACCCAATACAATCACAACAGTTAATCTGACTAATAATTTATATGGAGAGCTAATCTGAAGCAGAACTACTAGCATGCATGCAATCTGAGCGAATCCTACAAGTATTTCTTCCTAAATACCGGGTGGTGACTTACCTGGTTGACGCGTGCCCTTTTGCTAGCATTTCTTTGCCCGTGAGGTGTCCAAAAATACTGATTTCTCTAAATTAGGTCCATATTCACGTAAAAACAGTATTAGAACTGGAATCGGGACAAAAATCAGGAAAATAGAAAACAACCGGGCCAAATTGGCCGTTCCACGCGCGCTCACGCGCTAGTAGCACGCTAGGAGTGCGTGGCCACGTGCGCGAGAAGGCGCCAGTCGCAGGCTGCACGCGCGCCTGCCACGCTCGCCCACTTCCGCGCAGTCGCGGGTCGATCGCCTCGGCCCGGTCCGGTCGGCTCGGCTCGCGTTGCGGTTCGGCCCGGCTTGCAGGCGACACGTGTCGATGCCTCGTTGGAGCTGCGTTGCTCCAGCCGGTGGTCGACGCGTGTCCGGCGCCTGTCGCCGCCCTCCGCCGCTCGCCGGCCGTTTTCTTTTTTTTTTTCTTCTTTCTCTCTTTCTTCTTTCTTCTCTGTCCTCTGAAAACCGAAACCCAGTCGATTTTTTTTTCCGATTTTCATATCTTTCGATCCGTAGATCGGATCAATATGATTCCTTCGGCAAAGTTCTAGATCGTGTTACAGGCTACATCCTAGTATTTTTTTTTTTTGTAATTTTTTCTTGACTCTCGGAGGATTTAAGAACGCCGGAAGTTCGCTCACCGTTCTCAGACGACTCTCGAATCTCCACCTTTGGGTTGAGGTCTCGGCCAAACTTCTTCACAGACCGTGCGTGAGTTGTTCCTAGGTGAAGATTTCAACATTTTAGGGTCGATTCATGTAGGGGAAAACTCAGATCTGAGCAATGTCGTTCATAAACCTTACCTCGCGAAATGTTCTTAGGTTTTGATGGAGCGTCGGCCTTGCTAGCCTCTCAATCCTGGTACGAGCCTTGTCTGGAGATGGATTCCGGTGGTGTTCCTTCTTTCTCAGCGTGTATGTGTTGTAGGGTGGGAATAGAGGGTAAGTTGGATGGTTGAGGTAGTGAATGGTAACGAGCTTAAGAGGAGGGAGTGTGGGCGATTTCCATCGCAAGTTCTCCGCTGTCTTGCTGGAAATCTCATGGTTTTCTGAGAGATTTTTTTTTTCACAGCCAACTGTTGTTACACTGTTACATATATCAACATAAATATTACAAAAAAAAAAAAAAAAAAACATATATGAAACCAAAGAAATCCTATTAATGGTGTCCAGATATGCTTGTGAATCACTCATTATTGGACATTGTTTAAAGATCTCCTATTGAAAGTCAAAGTGTTGTTGATGTTATTCTTCCTAGTCAATTTCATGGTTCTCTTTGACATCAAATTCATTTGAATACAATCACTTATTCGAAAATCTATGTGCCACAAGGAAGAAAGAAAATACCAAAAGATTGAAGATGGAAGTTCACTTACAAGATAATTTTTTTTGCTTTTTACCTTTGTGGAATATGAAAGCCGAATTAATACGAAACTGTTATTTATTCTCTTTTTCATATTATTAAAATTTCACTTACGTCTATCGTTGTTGTCACAATTTGGATTTGAGAAATCTCACCCAACCTTTATATAACAATAAAGAAAATTTTATTTGATGGATAAGATGGGAGGCAAAGTAGAAGAAGAGTACACAACAATGTGGTATTTGCTGCATACTCTTCAATTCAAAAGATAGTCGGGATTGATAGATGTCAAATTTGATTTGAATCCTAATCCGTGTCCTGGACATGGAAAGTTATGACCATATCATAGGGGATGCAACGGAATGTCAGAGCAATTATGGACTAAATATGGGTTCCAAAGCCTAATCCCAATATGGACATAGGTTTTACTAGGTTAAGGATGTTAGTATTGACCACATGACCTAGTAGTCTATCGATGGTGGATTTCTAGTTAAGACTAGAGCTATGTCTTGTGTGTGAAAAGGAAGTGGATAGCCTCATAGGATCT